TTGACAGTTTTGCCTGTACTGCGCCATGTTGCATTCTTCACACAGTGCTGGGAGCTATGCCAGTTGTACGCCTCGACACATCCAGTGCTGAGTAAGGCCAAATGTCAAGTGACCACGTCCTTGGAGCTCATTGCTCGACAGTATGACCAAAATAGACTATCCTGCAATGTTAATCATTGCACTAAAATTGCACCTGTCATTCACTTGCTTCCGTCACGAAACAGCAACTATCTCGTGATGTAAACATGGCATGAAGAGGCGGACGACCTCCCAAAGTTCTGACCTCAGACGTTAAATGCCATTCTTGAACAGGCAGGCCGAGTGCAGCGAAGGCTTGTGGACTCAACCTTGTGTACGAGTTCTGGGTGGAGTGAGAGTTGTGTATGTAAGGCATACGACCAATGGCGTATACCGAATGTTAACTCTTGCAAACTGAAACATTTCCTTTTTGCACACAATGTCACAACATGTGATTTTCAAAGGCAGCAACTTTCATCTTGCCAGACACATGTTTCAGCCCGAGCATGAGCCAGCATACAGTAGCTACATCTACATAAATGTGCACGGTTGCCAAAATCTGTCAAGTATGTAGGCCTGGTGGGCAAACGTTTGTTTCCTCGATGGCAGCTTCATTCACCTAAATGCATTGAATGTGTTCTCGGTGATTGGTTCATCCTGTTGTAGCCTTTATTAGAAATACAGTCGAGACCAGTTTTACTTTCCTGGCTTAGTTTTCTTTTGCTTGCGCACTTGATAAGAATATATGTCAGTCGACATGCTAAAGCTGCCTCTAAGCATCTGTCTTATCCAAGCTCTAGATAAATGGCACTGGGTGGTTGTTTATTGTACTACACTAGTGCCCAGCTTTTGCTGCTTGTGCTTTCACTGGGCCCAGATTATTAAATCCAGCAAAATACAGAAATTGTTGAACACAGCTTGGAGTTTGCTTTGACATAAGCGTTCCTTTTGAGTCCGAACTAAGATGTCATTTGTATAAGCCACCTCCAAAATGAGGAATGGTGTTGGCAGCACAATGAAATTGCCACGTCCTCGCTTCGCTCGGGTATCGACCAATTCCACACACGAAAGGCACTGATTACCTTTGACTGGTAGCGTAGAAACAGCTGCATGCACATTTCAGGCGCTGAAGCAAACACATAGCTTTTTGTGAATGGGAGCATATTATTGCTTGTGATAATGCCACGTTGTAAGTCAATTTTTATTTTTATTTCATAAAGTACCATGCGTTTGAAATGACCAGTCAAGTTCTCGGCCCTGGCGGCCAAATTTCAATAAAGGCGTAATTTTTTCTAGTTCTTGCGGCTTGGGTTCTTCGATTTCGGTACGCGTTAGACACCAGATGGTGAAAGTCTGTGGCGCTGACCACTGTGGCATTCCTCATGGTCATATAGTTGATAACCTTGAGTTTATCAAGGCTATTTTGTTAATGGTATTTAAGTCTATTGGCAAGATGGCTGTCCGAACAACTAGCAGGAGCATGCCCTTTCCCAAAAAATCCTCCTCCATTCCAGTGGGTTGCTGGTTTGTGCTTGTCGTACCTTGTGGGCGAGTGGCACGGTTGTGGTTCTTTTTCCCTCCCCCTTTTTTTCAATTTCAATATAAACACTTTGTTCAGCATTCAACTGTTTTGGCTGAAGCAAGGTTCTGATGAAACGCTTCTTGCCATAGAGCCATTTCGACCTGCCCTTGTCGACAACACACTGTTATTTCCTGAACGCTTTTTATGCAGGCCGAATTAATTTTTTTCCCTCAGATGCCGTGAATAGATGTAGATGCACTACCTCCTTTTCTGCTGGCTTTTGTTTCTCCTGCAGCATGGTGTGTTGTTCTTGTCGTGGGTCTTGTGTACTTCCGTGTGTGCCAAACCTTGTGGTGATTGTGCTGTGTTTGTCATCTGTCACGCTTTTACCTGGCGCACTGTGGTTTTGCCCACTATAAAGTGTCATGGTGCTGTCTTTTATTGTTTGTGTAAAATTCAGAGCACTCCTGCCTCATTTGCAGTTGTCTTAGTTTTATTGTGCTTAAGTTGGGCTTCCAAATTTGATGCTCTGTCATGTTCAGGTGGTGTAATATTTTGCAAGGTTGTGAAGTGTTTTAGTGCAATTTACAAGTACTCACTGAAGTACTGAAACAAAGCTACAGATTCTAGCTACAGTAACTAGTTGAGACGTACCGTTGATGTGTTCAATCAAAGCACGTAAAACTTTTTGAAAAATAACTTGTAATAAGAGCAGATTAGTGCTACGCTAGTCTGCTCATGTAAGCATATCGGCAGCAGTAGTTCCAGTAGCTCTAGAATCACCCTCAATATTATTATTCTTTGTGAGGAAAATGTCTGAGCAGCACTAGCTTTGTAGCATGGTACTGTTGATCAGAATCTGTTTTCACATCTGGTTTCATGACAGCAAAATGGTCTCATGTGCTTTCATGACAGCATTTTCGATGGAGGCAAAAATGTGGTAGGCCCGTGTGCTCAGACATTTTCAACTTCAGATGTGGGTGCACATTCAAAGAACACCAGGTGGTCATAATTTCCGGGGCCATCCACTATGGCATCTCTCATAATAGTATGGTGGTTTCGGGACGTTAAACCCTATATATCAATGGTTTCATGACAGCATACATTTATTTATTTTATTACTCAGCTCTATTGGAATCTTATTGTCTCAATTCGTAAGGTCATGTATCAATTAATATCTAACAGTAGCCTTGGGAATAGACATGGGTCTAGTCAGGTTAACTTCAGAAACTCGAACTCTGTGGTGGCTTAGCACTCAGATGTTGCACTGCTAAGCTTGATTGAGGTTATTTCAGTTGAGGTGAAACGAAATAGCACCTGTGTACTTAGATGTTAGTGCACTGTAAAAAAAGCTGTTTTTTTTTTGGAATTGATCTGAAATTTCTACACTTTGGCAGGCTTTTCAATTATAGCATGTAGTTGTTGGCACATAAGAGAGAGAGGTAAACGTAATTGATTTCTGGCAGATTGATGGGCTGGGCCCCCACCTAGATGCTAACGAAAAAACTGTGTCTCCCGGCAGCTTCCTTGGCCATTTGCACATAAAGCCCAATAAATTATTCCCATTATTTAGAAACTCGAGGCTCGGTTTGGGGGTTCCTCTGCATGTCATAGCAGCACGTTTGAAAGCAGCAACCAACTAACCTGTTCAATTTTCTTGCTTATTTTGTTCTAATTTTTTGTACTTTGCTTAGCAGTGTTGGCAGTTTTTGTTTGTGTTTTGCTGTTGCATAATTTTGTGACTAAATTAAGGGGGTGCTAAAGAAAACCATTACAATTCTTTTGAGGGGGAAAAAAAAAAGCTCATGAAAGTGAGAGATTTGCTGCAATGCTTCTTTGAAGTTTCTGCACCAATTCAACGTGAAGTTGCCTAGTTAATTTTTACTTACACTACATTTTATTTTAGGAACATGAAACTCTCAATTTTGCTAGGTTGCAAGGATCTTTTTACTGCACCACAGCCTAAATGGCAATAATAATAATAATAATAATAATAATAATGAAACATGATGCAACGATATGTGCTAGAATTGCAGCACGGAATTTTAAATTTCCTTTGGTAATCAGCCTATCAATGGGGGCTAGGCAAATTTTTGAGGTTCGTACTTTGTACCTAAACAGATTAATCTTCGTTCTATGTTTACATTATTTAGCCACACGTTAAAAAAAATGGTTTCTCCTCCCCTGACTGGGTTGTTTTAAATTCATTTATTGTTACAAGTAGGTTTCAGATAGTGGAACAGGTTCACCAACTATAATATCCTTGATTTTTATTTTTCATTTATTTTCTGCATGTCGTTGTAGCATTTGATAAGAATGCTCAATCATGTTCAGTTGTGTGAATGTTTCAATCAACTCTCTATTCAAATATGTGCAATGTCTTCCACAAAATGTGTGTGGCGTACGAACTATGAGGCTCTGCTATAATTTATTTGTATTTTATTTTATGTATTCTTTTTCTTTCTTGGTTTTATCTGCATGATTGCTAATCCACGGGACTAAAATTTTGCATGCAGAAAAACATTGTGTGGGTAGGAACTGTGTTGAGTTGTGTATTTCTAGGCAACGGCAGTCAAAAGTGGCTTGTGCTAATGTATGCGTATTGATAGCGTTAGGTTATTTCATGAGAATCATCCAGTGATGAGAGGTACTTGGCATAGAGCCACAGGCAGAAAACCAACAGTGAACCTCTGACCACATTGATGGCGCTGCTTATATTTGGCAGCAATTAGGTCAGCTTTTATTGACCCTGATCCGTACAACCCATTGAACTGGCCGCAGGTGAGAGCCTTCACTGAAAACTATGCCAGTGGCTTGTTATCGTAGCAAAATGGTAAGGCTTGTTGGGACAGCTGTAGAAGGCAGTGCAATGAGTGGCCAATGGCAAAAGTCGCGAGCTGGAATCTCGGATGACTCAAATGACCGTAGGGATGACTCAAATGGCCGGTAGTCACAAAATTGCACGAAGCTAGAGAAATACTTTCATATCATTGAGATTTTACCTAATTAAGTGCTTGATTAACATGACTAGCAGTGCTTTATTTGAGCAGTGACCACAGAAATACACATGCAGAACACACTACGGGTCTTGTGTTTGTGATTGGCCTTGGTTTATAGTGTTGAAACTCCCCTGTTCTGAACACCACTTAGTTCAAAACTTGTTTTTGCATTACTTATTTCTTTAATTTTTCTATTTATTTATTGTAACCTCAGGGTATAGCAGAGACAGGCACCTGTTCCTCTCTGCTTTTATTGTAGTTTGTGAGTGCTCAACTTTATCTAATATATTCTGTGGCAGAAGCAGGGAGACAGTGTTCTAGTGCACGAGGCTCTTGTGTCACTTGATTAGTTTTTGCGCAACTTTTGCATGGGAGTGTTGTGATCTAAAAGGGGTCTCTGTTATCCTCCCGCCAATCCCCCTTCTACCTTTTCTCACTTGCTCCCCCTTCCCCCTGAGCAGTGCGGGAGGGGCCAAGAGTGGAGGGGGGGCCGTGCAGGGCAGCCTGGCGGCGTCTCCGCTGCCATCGCACACGAACCGGCCCTTCCCTAGGGGGACTGTGAACCGCAGCACCTTTCACAGCGGCCAGACGCGCCGCACCTACAACGGACCGGGCTCGGGGGGCTCGGGCCTGCCCCAGCAGTCGCAGGACACCTCTTCCGTCTCTGGGCGGCAGTCCTTCTTCAGCAAGCTCTCCTCCAAGTTCAGCAAGAGGTGAGGTGCTTTTACACCACTATTTTTCTTCCTTTCTCGTAATGCAGAGTTTTGGCAGCAAGTGTGACGATGCAGGCTTGTTTGTGTTGTGTCCTGAGCAGTGTTTAGTCGATTATAACCTAAGTTTAAAAGTAAGCCATGCTCACAGCTGTTGCCGTCCCACCTAGAAAAAATATATTCCCCATTCAGCTGCGTTCGCTCATTTCCACGACGTCAGGCACGTAAGGCAAACTTCAGGTACCCATGCCCACACATGCTCGTGTCCCTGGTACTCAGTTGAAAACTTCAACTTCTTGTCAAATTTAAGCAAAGTTTCTGACAGCACTCCTCGGGGAAACGTAACATTTTAAGTAGGGACAGTGAACCTTTAGTTACTGCAGTAAAATCTCAATACGATGCTCAACGGATTGTTAAAATTATTTGTTATCTTGAAAAGTTGTTGTAGTGAAAGTATTGAAAGTTTGCGCAAAGTTCGTGAAGCCAGACACGCGAGTCTCTTACCTGCGCGCTTACCTATGCATTTGCGACCACGTTATGCTCTAATAAGCACGAAAAAGCAAATGCAAAATTACGGAACCAGTGCACATTTATCTGAGGAAGAGCGCAATCTATCCTGATGTGAGCAGCTCAACTGCTGAAAGCTTCTATTAAGTATGCGCATGCTTCTCACGCACTGCGAGGCATCAGCATTTATATACTGATCCTTTATGTTGGGGCACGCGCTCTGTTTCAATGTCGTCTTCACTCTCAGCGCACTTATCACGATAAATGGTATCAACTTTATCAGTTGTCAGCTAAGCTCACGTGTGTGCTTTGTCGTCGCACTGTGTGCAGTGTTTGAGTGTTAGTGGAGCATGCACGAAGAATCATCGAAGATTTCAGGTCACTAGCGCCACATTTTTCAATGTCGTAGCATTCATTCGTGCTGCTTCCAGAGCTTGTCTTGAACGTTCTACATCACAGCATATTCGCGGAGTGAATGATGATGAGTAGGGCGAAGCGGCCGTCCGTCTGTCCATCCATCTGTCTGTCTGTGTGTGAATATGCTGGGCTGGCTATGCCGTTGGATGGACGTGGAATCGCCCTAGGCCATAAGGAGCCTCAACCCTAAAAGGCTAGAAACTGGCGCGCAGGTCAAGCTGCCCAGCAAAAACAAAAGGCAACTGCGTGAAGCCTGACACGAAAACAAGTTCCAGGCGACGATGACGGCGATAGAGTTGTTGCACATTTGAATAGGGCCGCAGATAAAGAAATGCGCTGCCGTTCTGATGATGAGGATAGTGGCAGCTAAGAAGCTGTGCATTATTTTTTACAGCCATGAGTAACTTTTTAAAATCCCTATTCATCATTTTGAAGTGCTGTGAACATATGAGGGGGATAAAATTCGATATGTTATTCTGAAACATTCGGTATTCTGAAATTTGTAGTATTGAAATATTTTTACATTAAACTAATGGACATTTGGAGTGGGATTTTTGAAAAAGTTGTTAATCTGAAAAAAATCGTTCATCTGTAGTTGTCTATAATGAGGTTTGACTGTAATATGCTTAATATTTACACTAGCTGCGAAAAAGTATTTACAGTTGCTATGGGCACTACACGGCACACTCTTGAATAGGGGAATAGCAGTTGAGGGGGTGTTGCTTGTATTTATTCTCTGGTTGTGGCTGACTATAGTGCAAGCCTTCTTCTTCTTCTTCTTTATAGTGAAATAAAGAAGAGGAAATGGACATGGGCCGGGCATGTAGCGCGTAGAGAGGATAACCGCTGGTCATTAAGGGTAACTAACTGGATTCCCAGAGAAGGGAAGCGGGTTAGGGGGAGAGAGAAGGTTAGGTGGGCAGATGAGATTAAGAAGTTTGCGGGTATAAATTGGCAGCAGCAAGCACAGGACCGGGTTAACTGGCGGAACGTGGGAAAGGCCTTTGTCCTGCAGTGGACGTAGTCAGGCTGATGATGATGATGATAGTGCAAGCACCAACCATTGAATCACTACATTTACTAGATAGAACTGTGGTGCCAAACTCATACATCCACTATGGGAATGATGGGTAGTATGTGGCATCGCCTAGTCTTCTTACTTGGCCGCTTCAAACGCACATTTGACTATCATTATTTTTGCGTTTTGACTCTTATTTCTATTAAAGGAGTGGTTTGTTGTGAACCTTGCCAGCTGATTTGAGTTGATGACCCTGAAAAATTCAAAATTATGAATTGGGACTGCAGCGACAAAGTGGCAGCAGGCCACGCAAAGCCTTATGTTGTTGAGAAAGAGCAGAGACGAGGCATGTGCTACCCACTATTCTCAGGCTGGCTGAAGTTTCATGCATTACAGCTGCCATAGCCACTAGAGCCAGGTTTCCCTCTACTGTGCTCAACACTGGAGAAGCTCTCTGTGTTTCAAACGAGGCAAAAGTTTGGCATAAGGTGGAGGTAGGCTCAAAGTAAGGAAACAGAATTGCACAAGGAAGGTCACTCGGGGCAACATTGACTCCAATGACATTCCCAGCAGAGTGACTTTTAATTATACTACCTTTCTTTTTGAGTCTGTAATACGCATTTTTTGTGCTACCGTTAGATTTCTCGAGTCCTGGCTTTATATACCTAGAGAAAGACGTTGCTTCATATCACAGTCAATGCATCCTTGAGGTTCGCACTTGGCCACCTAGTGTAAAAAAAAAAAATTATATATTTGAGTGATCATGGTGGCTATGCTTTTTTGAACCCCTACTTTGCATCACTGTGAAGTTATTGGAGCACAGTGCCATATTGTGCCAGCTTCTACGTCTGTGATACGCATGCTTAAAAAAAAATAAATATGAAGTGAGCAGCTACTACCAGTATCTAATTGCAGAGGAATTGAAAGGAGGGGAGTTTTAATTGATACTGAGCAAGAACTTAGTTGCCAAATATTAGCCCCCCATATCCACTCCACAGGTAGGGATTTGCTCTGTAGGAATTGCCCATTTCCCCGCAGGGGTGCCTGCGCAAGTAGGCGTTTGGTGTGTAGCGACACCACGGACCCGAGCTAACGGGGGAGTTTCGACTCCCTCCCACGCCTAGCCGCGCGTGGCTTTGCCGTGTCCGGGGGAAAGGGGATCCTGGGGGTTGAGCTGACGCTGGGTGATTGGACCTTTAAGGCCCCCTGGCAGAGGCAACACACCTCTTTGGCCCCTGCTTCACGTAGACGGCAACCCTGGGCTGACCCACCCAGGGGAAATCGGCAGTCGCCTTTTCCTATCTCTCTCTGCCTATATCTTCGTCTTTATCTCTCACTATCTATCTGTCCTGTCTTCTACTCTCTTCTGTTTTTCTTCCAATTTTCCTGGCGGCAAGGGTTAACCCTGTGCAAATAGCCTACCTTGGTCTAGGCGCATTGGGTTATGGCAGTGTTGTACGGCTGACGTCTGCAAGCTTTCAGCACCTGTAAACTTGCAGCGTCCCCTTGTTGGGCTCCGTGGTGGGTGGCCGCCAACGCTACTGAACAAACATAAGACCGGCATGCATGGCGCATTCCCTCTACTACCTGATCGTACCGGCCTAAAGCGGGTACGCAACGACGACATAAATCTCTTCAACCAGCCAATAGAAACTTTTCCCCACTTCCACGTCATTCACTGCGAAAAAAACAGAAAGCAAGCCAGGACCGTATCTCCTTTCGTAGTTGCCAGGTGTCTTACGGAAACTCTCGGGGCTGGATACAAATTAACCAAAATGGCGAGCGGAGACCTTCTTCTAGAAATTCGGGACAAAGCACAATTTGTAAAGCTAAACAGCCTCTCAACGTTTGGTGACGTACCGATCACCGTAACACCACACCGATCCATGAACATCACTCGCGGAGTGGTATCTGATGCAGACTTACTTGAGCTCACCAAGACTGAACTTTTGGAAGGGTGGAAGAGCCAAAATGTAAATAATGTACAGAGAATTATCATCAGAAGAGATAATAAGGAAATACCAACGAAACACTTGATACTCACGTTTGCATCCAGTAACTCACGTTTGCAACTCACGTTTGCAACTCAAACGGATGCAAACGGATGCAAACGGATGCAAACGTGAGTTGCAAACTGCAACTCACGTTTGCAGTTTGCAACTCACGTTTGCATCCGTTTGCTACCAGATTCCATTCAAACAGGGTACACAAAGACATCTATCAGGCCGTATATACCAAACCCTCGTCGTTGCTTTCAATGCCAGAAGTATGGCCATGGCTCTAAAACCTGTCGTGGTCGCCAGACTAGTGCACAATGTGGAGTCCTAGGCCACGTGTCTGAGAACTGCAAACAACCGCCACACTGTGTAAACTGCGAAGGAAACCATGCCGCATATTCACGCTCCTGCACATACTGGAAAAAAGAAAAAGAAATAATTACATTGAAGGTGAAGGAGAACATTACGTTTAAGGAAGCACGGCGAAGAGTCTCTCCATTCTATGGACCTACATACGCTGATGCGGCGCGTCAGGGGGCACCGCCGCACCAGCCCTCGCCACCCCTTCGACCCGCGCAGAGCGAGCCGTCGGCTTTGGCACCTGCCCCCAAGGCGGCTGTAGCCCAGGCTACACCGCCTACTCCCGAACAGAGACCGGAGACTCCAGAGTCTTCGGGCCTCAAGGCCTCCCCTCACCAGGCGAGGCCCAAAATCCGAACTAACAGCCCGCACGTGCGGGCATCCAGTACCTCCGAGGAGGCAATGGATACGTCGGCACCCTTGGTGCCGAAAGAGCGGCGTGGCTCCTTGGAGCGCGCCAAGAAAACAAAAAAGCAAATAACAGGGCCTGGTGACGGCCCTGTTAAGTGAACTCAAACTCCCCGTCTAAACAGCCACTCGCTTTTCGTACACACAGCATTATTTTACACTCACCATGAACACTCAAATTATACAATGGAACGTCAGGGGCCTTCTCAGAAACCTTGACGACATCCAAGAACTCTTACACGAACACTCACCAAAAGTGCTGTGTGTACAAGAAACACACCTTAATTCAAAACACA